ATTGGAGAAGTAGAGTGGTTGTTGGCAAGTGAATCTGCAAGATTGTTAAAAGTGTCATCAGAATGAGCTTGAACTTTAAAAAAGGACAGTTGGATATTGAAGGTTTTTAGGATATTGAGAAGTGTGTATCAAATTGGCCAGAAGTTAAATTTAAAGTATTTTGTTGATTGAGGAGACAGGATAAGGAGTTTGTTATACTTAGATATAATAGACTGTGAGTCAATATAGATTTGTAGGCTAGAATTTCAGAGATAACAGACAATATTGCTAATAATTCAGCTTTGTATGAGGAGGGCCAATTGGAAATTTGGGCAGAAAAGTTTTGTATAACTGATTTGTTGTAAATTTGAACCCAGCCAATACCCATAGAGCATTGGTCAGTACCAAGTTGTTTAACAGATCTATCTGTATAGAAGGTGAATTGCTGTTAAGATAAGTTTGCTAGCGCAATCTGGGTGAGCTGAAAAGAGGCTGCATTGTTATGGAAAATGCTAGATATAAAAGAGTCAATAATATTAATTGAGGGTGGTGAAGGTATTTCTGTGGGGTGTTTGATATTGGTAGAATAGATAATTTGCATTAAGATTAAGTTGTTTGTTGGCTTTTTTCTTACCCAGGAACTGAGTAGAGAGAATGGCTGATACTTCTAAAGTACAGCAACTGGAGATACGATTGGAGTTAAGGCTGCAGCCTTGACAGGGTGTACAAGAAATAGGAAGTAGTGGGTAGTGGTTGGAAATAGAGGTGTCAATATTATGTTGCCAGTGTGTTATAGAAATAGTGTTTGTTTGTGTAAAGGTCCTGCGAACTTGTCCTATTACAATATGCTTATTGTAATAGGTTAAAACCCAAGGTTTGTGGGTTTTAGGGATAAGGTTGGCTTGATATGCAAAAAAGTTAAGGCCTTTGGGCTGGAAGTGAGGTAATATATTACGAGTTAAGTTATTTTCAAGAGTAATATCTGTCACGGTGCTACGCGGTACCCCTGTAACTAATGATCGGGTACGTATGTGTCATGATATAATTAATGCGTAATTAATATCGGGTGATCACAACTTAATTAAAAGTCTAAAGTATTGATGCATAAACAATGAGTAAAGTATGTAATAATCAGTGACGCAAATGCGTATTAGTAATAAATAAATAAGGTATTGATCCAAAAGTGGAGATACCAGGTTAAACCTTAGAGAACTTTGAGTTCTTTGAAAGTATTCTTAGTGAATAAACTGTATCTTAGTGATCATATTGGTGGTAGTATCTGGTACGATACGCCAGTCATCGTTAATAGGCCAAGCGAGTGTTAATTGATAGTATAGACCCACAAATACACGGTAGTTTGGGTAACTCCGTGACAGAAAGGACCTGGGCAAGCGAAGGTCTACTCACAAAATAGAGTTGATTTGTGCACAGGAAAGAATAAAGGCCGTGCTTGCTGAAAGTTGTGAGTTGATTGCCTCAGTGGCATTTGTTGAGTAAAAGTTGGTATTCGAACATTGTGTAAGGAATATGAAAGAACATTAATAGTATAATGTTCGGATAAGTAAAGACTTTCTGAACGAAAATAACAAATACCTGAGTGGTAAACGAATGAAAATGGAGGGAGTTGATCTTTTGGTATCGTTGGTTGAAAATGTGATGAAGATTGTGGTTGAAGTCGCGAAAAACTTGAAGTCGAAGCAAGTGAAACCACATCGTTATAAATCTCGGCTGTGTTATGTATGCCGATGTAAAGGACATTTAGCTCATGATTGTCCTGATCAAATGAAGTATCGAGATTTGAAGTGTAGTGTAGAAGTACCTAAAAATGGAAACGTAGGTATTAACAAAATGAATGAATTGGAGAAACGAAAGAATTATACATATCTGAATAGCGAGATTGAGGATATAAGGTTAATGAGGTTTGAAGGCAATAATAATTATGTGAAAAGTATTCAAAGGCGTGGTGGAAGTGCTAAAATACATAAGCCAAGAGCGAAGAGAAAAGTGAATGTTAGTTCAAGTGGTCAATACAATTCAAAAATTAAAAGAACAAAAATAAACAACAAACATGAAGGCTCCAACGAAAAGAAAACATCTAATCATCATAAAGAAGCCGCCAATGATAGATACATAAGGAATTTGAAACGTATAGAACATGAATGTTTATGTGAGCGGCGTGATCTTGGATTATGTAATCGAAATCGAATTGGTGGAGCAGTGATGAATCAAGTTGACCACTGTAATGAAAATGAAACCGAGAAGGATGAGTATAAATCGTTCATTTATCCTCAAAGGTCTGTTGACCGAAAAGACCCTAGGGGAACTGGAACGAATAGCCTTGAACATTGTTATATAAAGAGAACTAAAGCTGAGGATGATGAGATAAAGACATTCATTTATCGGCAAAGGCCTACAAAAATGGAAGAACATGAAGTATTCGATTGTTACCAAAAATCTGATGACAATGGAACGTACGATGCTAGATGTTGTTGTCGAAGCAGTACTGGCAATGAAAAGGATGAACATAAGGAATTCATCTGTTATCAAAAATCAGCAGATATGGGTTATGCTAAGGAAATGCTAGCGCCCAAGTGTAGTCAAAATTCTGCCAATGTGGATGATGCTGATGGAGCTGTTGATGTTGAGCATTGTTGCCAAGATGAAGTAACGGTGATGTTAGATGCGCCATTGGATGTGGTAATGAAGATAGATGAGATGATGTTAGGTTTACTAAAAACATTAGGAGAAACTAGCTCAGATGAAAAAAATACTGAAGTTTATTCTAAGATCACTGAAGACACGATCGAGTTAAATGATATAAGTGTAAAAAACCATCGGTCGAGGAGAAATTTGATGATAATGATGCAGCATTCGAGGAATGGTTAGAAAAAGAATTGGATAAGAGAAGGGTGATGGTCAGTGGAACAAATGAGGATGTGAATAATGCAGATAAAGGTGTGGTTACGAAGTGCATAATAAATAGTGACGAGAAGGAGATCGATGAAAGTGATGATGTTAATGAGACGTCCAATGAAGATGAATCGAAAGAAGATCTTGAAGCGAAAATTGGAGTAGAAAAGGATATAATGACGACTAGTAGTAATGGAGAAATAGATGATAAAAGAAGAGTAGTTAGCAGAATGAACGTTGATGAAACTGGTCGAACCAATATTGATCGAACGTACCAAACGAACTGCGAAATTGGAGAAAACGAGGGAATTTATTCCTTGTCAAAAATCTGCAAATACGAATGATGCTGATAAAGTATCTATAATTGGACATTGTTATCATCACGAAGTTGGAATTGAAAAGGATGAACATAAGACGTTCATTGATTATCAAAAAATGGCTGATATGGGTAATGCTAACACTACGTGTAATCGTGGTAGTTATTATGAAAATGGAATTGATGACGAAATTGGTGTTGAAAAGGACGATAACAAGGCACCTGAACGGCATTTGAAATCAGTTAAAGGTGATAGTGTCCATGGGGCATTTGATGCTCGAAGTTGTTATCGAAATGGAATAGGAAGTGAAAGAGATGAACGTGCAGCATCCATTATCTACCAAAGATCTGTTGAAGACGAATATAAAGCATCTGAATCGAATTTGAAGTGCATTGAAGGCGATGATATAAAGAGAGATAACAATAGCGATACAATAAGAAAGTTAGTGAATATAAACGGACAATCAGCAAAAGCATCAATTAGAACTAGTTCATGTGTAAATTTAATAAACATAGATTATGTAGAAAAGAAAGGGCTTACTTGGAAACGATGGGACGATGGATCAACCATTGGTGGTATGTGTGATGATGAGTTTATCGGATATGTTCCCAGAGTAGAAGTTGATATTGATGGTATTAAAGTAGTTCAAATGTTTCATGTGAAGTATGAATTAGCTTCTGATGTAGTTCTTGGAATGCCATGGGTTATGAAAACTAGGTGTAGTTTCAAATGGGAGGATAAAAAGTGTTGTTGTACGATCCGATCTGGATATAATGAAACGACATTCGTCATTTCAGAAGATTTTGCAATTGATGAAGACATAAATGACGATTATGTGATTAATAAAGGTGGAATGATGAAGAATGATGATCGAAGAGAAAATGAACTCATGGATATAAGATGTGTTAAAGGTGAAGCTGCAGATGGTAGAACGAATGAACTTGAGAATTACCTCGAAAGTGAAATCAAAAATGAAAAGGATAAACAGAATGCATTTGCTCATTGTTAAAGCCTGGGGAAAATAAATTGTGGTAATAAGGCACATGATCATGAGTGTGCTGAGTATGTGAGTCAGCCAAGTACCATGCGAACATTGAATGGTATGTTGAAAGCTAGAGATTGTATGAATAATCCAATAAGGCTGTATAATTCGAGTTATCGAAGACTGAAGCTTCATGATGATAAGAACCATG